AGTGTTAAAAGCCAGAAATGGTGAAACCTGTTCCGCAAACATTGATCAAATCAAACCCTACTTGATCGTAATAAAATGCAAATTTTCAGATCTTTTGCAGGATCCGGCACGGCAGACACCGCAGGCACAAGCTCCAGAGGTGGAAAAACGACAAGTACAAGGGCAAGCCAATAAGAGACAGAAGCAAGTGAAAAGAAAATTGCCCCGCGGAAAAATTGAAGGTACAAAAAAAAGAAGCCGTTCCACCGTCCAGAAAAGAGAGTTCACGAACACCCCCAGAATGAAGAAGGGAGAAGGACGACGTATGTGAAGAGAACCAGGAGAAATGACGGCAACTATAACCCGGCTTAAAACGGAAGATTACTCATCCGACAGGACTCTCCGCAGCAAAAGTCGCCGAACTGCGGAAGGGCCATCAGCGGCGGAGGAAAAAGTACAAGGAAAATTTGAACGGCCAGCAACGAGGTAAGCAGGAACACGACAGAGTTTCCCGGTTCCGCCAAGAAAAGAGCCCGTATCAATCAAATATAGAACGGGTCAATAGAAATAAATGAAAATTGTCCGTAGTTATGTTAAAAATTTTCATAAAAGCTGGGTTAACTATGTCAATGAATTAGAGGACCGCAAAACATGATACGACGGGCAAAACTTGCTGAGTTAAGGCAAAAGATTATAACGCCGTTAGAAAAATTATTTTATGTTCAACAAAGAGCCCCAGAATTTAAAATGGGCGATATAGAAAAACTAATTAAAGAAGCAAAAAAGAACACTGAAGTAGCACAGAGAAAACAGAAGCTTTATTATGATATGAAACGACGGGGAGTAACTTATAAAGTAGGACATGAAGTGTTAAAAATTAAGCATTCACTTTCTTCAGCACCAGAAGATAAAACTGCTAAATTTTATCCACGATTTGAAGGACCATATGTCATAGAAAAAGTAACTCAGGCTTAGTGGTGTTAAAAGCCAGGAATGGTGAAACCTGCACCGCAAACGTAGACCAGATAAAACCATTTTATAATCGTAATAAAATGCCAATATTTCAAGATCTTTTGCAGGATCCGGCACGGCAGGCACAAGCTCCAGAGGTGGAACAACGACAATCCCAAGGGCAAGCCATTAGTAGACAGGAGCAATTGAAAAGAAAGTTCCCCCGTTGGAAAACTGAAGGTAACAAGAAAAAGAAGTCGTTCCACCGACCAGAGAAGAGAGAGCACGACCACCCCCAGAATGAAGAAGGGAGAAGTACGACTAATGCAAAGAAAGCCAGGAGAAATGACAGCAACTATAACACGGCTCCAAAACAGAAGATCTACCCATCGGATAGGAGTCTACGCAGCAAATGTCGACGAATTGATGAAGGAAGACCAGCTGCAGATGCAAAGACGCAAGAAAAATTTGAACAGCCAGCAACGAGATCCAGGCAACAACGAGAGACAGTTGTCCCGGTTCCGCCAAGACCAGCTGCCATCAAACGGCCGTGACCACAGGCAGATGCTAAAGGAAGGGACCGAAGGGCGAACCCCGCACAAGAAGGAAGATCAACCAGACCGTAGTCTTCGCTACCTTCCAGGACTGGGCAGAAAAAAGGATGTCTGAATATCACAAAGATAAGTAAAACTTTATGTTACTTTGAAACCGTAAGTTAATTTTTCAATCTTACTGCAAGTGGCAGAATTCAAGAATTTTTACCTCATGTGAGGCCTACCTTTATCGCCAAAAAGGCGAGAAAGGAGTTGTTACCTATTTTGGTATTGTTTTTCAGTTACTCGCGAGTAAAACTAAAATTAATGTATAATAGGAATGTGTAAATACTTGAATATTGAAAAAGCATTGATAATCTTTGAGAAAGGTACCTTAAGAAAATTGTAAAAATTATTGTATAAAATTTTATTTAAAAGATTCTGGCAAGAAAGAAGTTTTAATCTGAAAGACTTTTGAAATGTAGAATTTCAATGCAGAAGAATTGGCACTTGCTTGGAAAAGAATAGAAGTTAACAATGTACTACTAATGTATGTTTTAAAATGCGTAAAATTAACGGCATGTTAATATGTCCTTATATACAATGTGAACTGTTATCTTAAAAGTTAAGAAATATTGTGATATGTTAAAAGTAAAAATATTAGAGTAATGCCAAAAATTTTAACTTATTCGTGTGACTGTAAAAAGAGCAAATTATTGTGAATATGTGATAAAGGTTGAATGAATAAGGTTGAATGAATGTAGTTAGGCTCTCTGACGCTACACTTCAGAGTTAGCCACTTTTCAGAATTGTAGCTCAGGGTTTAGAGATGAATATAAGGTGTGTTCTGAGGTTTTGTTATGTTGAATTTTAAGACGTTAGTGTTTTGATTGCAGGCGGTAGTGTTGAACACTTGTACATAGACACGCTCGTGTTTGGTGTTTTTCTTTACAACACAAGTCAGAGAGCACGGGGAGATAATTAAATAACGTCATGAATGAAATAAGAATTTTAAAGGAGAAATATAAATATTCATGTTACTTGCCATTTGATTGTGTAACATTTCATTAAACTAGTTTTCCTTCCATCTCTGGAAGGAACCAGATTTCAACTAAGAAACTCCTGTTTATAGATGCAGTACAGATGAAAAATACTTGTCCATAGAGATGATAATGTAAAAACGACTTTTTAATATCTAGTTTCTAGAGAGAAATGTTTGAAAAAGATTGGCCTCGCGTTAGATTCTAGAGCTAAAAGTTTTCAACAAGGTCGTTTTAGACCTCAGTTTCAAACTAATTAACTCTGGCGGATAGTATGTAAGGATCCTAAGTTTTACTAACGTTTATTTTATTTTAAATCTTTACTATCACTCTTATTTTCTTTCCGGCCAGAATAAAGCGTTAACTTATTTATGCAAATTGTCTGCTAACGCCAAGTACTTAAGTTGTGGCTTTTTTGCCAAGAAGAGAGGAAGGAGAAGAAGGGCCGCTTGCCATATAGTTTACTCGGTTGCTGGTTGCCTTTAAGGCCAGAGGTTTAATCCTCGTGATAATTTTAACGTATCGTAGTTTTAGCAGCTCTCTGTACTACATACGGCTTTTTGTTAATTGACGGCCAATCTTAGAGTAGGCACTTGTATATTAACCCAAAGTTAGTTTTAGTTAGAGCTTTTAGTTAGTATTTTTATATTCTTACGTTCAGACCACAAGTTGTTGGTCTCTGTATTCCGAAGGTCCGGAAAGCTCTGTAAAGATAGAAAAAATAAAGGGTTTCGTATACCCTTCCTGTGTGTATTGTCTACTTCACAATTTATTGAACATAGCTTTAGTAAGCTCCCTGTTCCGAGTCAGGACAGTTAATGTTTCGAAAGCAAGTAAAGAGGAATACTAATCCTGATAGTATTGCGTCAATAAAGAGGAGCTGCTTCATAACTCTGTTGCACATTTGAAAAGAACGCCCAGTGACACATGGTTGCTTCCTGCCACGTTTTGAGTATGCGCTCATGAGTTGTTCGCTTAAGGTATGATGGTCGGAGACTTGGGATCACTTCATCGTAAAACATTGTTTGCTGTCTGCTTTGGCAGCTCGCCAGCCAGCTCCTTTCCGGCCATACTCTCGTGAGATGGAGCCAAACAGAGAACAGGATGGTTAAGAGAAGGTTGGTTTAGTTTTGTTTTTCATATGGTAAAGTACTCAAAGGGCTATCTGCCTAGGACAGGAGATTGAATTCGTAACATTAAAGGGCGAAAATCATGTACTAATGGACTTATGCTACGTATGCCCGATATGGCCTGCAGCTTAGATGCTGAGCTACTGTAAATCGTGGTATTCGATGCATGGTCAATTGCTTACAGGATTACAGCCCGCAGGGCAGTTAGTTCCACTTAGAAAACGGAAATACTTGTTGAGCCCAGCCTACTTGTCTTCTGCTGAATGATGTTATTCTGCAAACAGCAAATCCGCTGCCTGTACCATTTTCTGTCTTGGATTCTTCTGTACTTTCTGTATTTTCTTTTTTCGTTCACACGTTTTCGGTAATTATAAAATATTAATGTGCAGTACTTATTCAGGAAATATATGTATCGTCTAAAAATAGAGTTTACCTGTACTGACCCGTTACATGATTAAATTCAATAAAAGTCGCCCTAAGATAATTTTTCTTCATTTATAAACTTTGTATACTTTTAGACCAAAAGAAAATAGCATCAAATATATTTGGAATTGTTAAGCATGACTCTATGAAAATACAACTTTTTTACGACTTGATACTTTTGTTGTGTTGCAAATTTAAATTGTGTTAATGTAATTTAATTAATTTCTATTAAGGTTTCTATTTAACTGAAATTGTTTGTGGCTAGTATAGTGGATACCTATTTTTGGTAGTTAAAAGCTTTAGTTGCATTTATTTTCGATGCTTAGATTTTTCTCATGATGAAGCAGGGAGTGGTTTTTCAGAATATTTGGAAGGAAGGGGGATCGAATTACTTAGTCAGTACTCCCCAAAGAGATTCCCTTGTCGGGTTGTGAATAGGATTTACACTGAGAAAGACTAGTCTATGCATCCGTCGTTACGGAAGGAAAAAAAGGTATAATTTACGTATTCGTTTTCACTTTTTGCTTTGCGAAGGTTGCAAGTGATGGATAAAGAGGTTTTCGAACGAAGGGGGTGAAGTGAATTCTTTTGGGCTGCAATTAAAACGGCAGGAGTGACCTTACCTCCGTGTTGTTCTTAGAATTTAGAATAGATCCAATTTCTGGTTCTTACGCGTTTGGGTGATTCATTTTGCAGATCTCAAGATGACAATCTTTGTAGCAGTAGTTGTAAAATTATTTGTTTGTGGAGACTGAAAGTAATAAAATGAAAAATGAAAAAAAAAAAATACATCATGTTGATCAAGCTTAATTCTACGTATATCTTTCAGCCTATAGAATTTTAGATTTTGAAGAAACCGAGTAATTAATTAACTAAATTATTTAATTAAGTAAAAATTAAGTTAAATAAACTAGTTAAAAACTAACGCATTATTAATAAAAAAATTCGTTATATAACACTTTTTGTTTTTCAAATTTAAAATAAACTACATCCAGATATAAAAAAATAAAAGGCTTAAAATAATACATTTTCATGTAGATATATTCACATCTATTAGGAAAAGTGTTAACTAATCTGTTGTAAACCATTGTTGGATTTCCGTGCCTTTAGTTTTATCTACGAACTTCTGGTCCAACCTCTTTGACTGATCGTCTGAAAAATGATTTTTCCAATCTCCTACTATTCCTTTACGCATAAATTCCAATTTCGGCTCCTCTTCAGGAATTTTCAAAGATTTCACGAATTCTTGAGCATGGCGTGCGCCTTCAAAATCATTTTCAAAAGTCGTTGATTGTTTTGGATCAGATTTTCCAAACTCCTGTACCAGTGTCTGAGCCTTCATGTATTCAAAACTGCTAAATTTCAAAATATTATTCAAGATATTATTATCATGCTCAATCGAATTTATGTATTCCTTACCGAGAAATTTCGCGAGTTTGATAACCATGTCCTTAGTATTTTTCTTCATATCTTCATATTTAGTGAAAAAAATATTGGGATCATTAAGGTGGGGATACCATGACATTAAATGATCAAAGTAATCGTTGTATTCTGTTTCACCAGCCAAAAAGAGCTCAAAAAAGTCATTGAATTCAGCATCCCAATACTTAAAACCAATATTATTTCTTGTGTGATAATAGAAGGATACGCAACAATCCTTGGGATTTCGTGCTACAAAAATGTACTTGGCATTAGCGGAATAAGGTATGTGCGAAAAAGGAAGGTGAGTCTTCATTGCTCCAGGTCTCGGCATTTTAGCAATACCTTCAGCCCCAAGCTTGTCAATGAAAGGACTCAGTATACGAAAATCTTCCTCTTGGTCTAATTTTTGCCCTTTGCGAAAAATATACATGACAATATTTTGCATCCAGGTTGTTCCACACTTTGGATATGTCACAACGAATATATCATCTCTCGTCGGTTTGTAATTTAGTACTTCTTTAAAGCATTTTGGCGAAAAGTAGCTTGGAATTCTAATGCCACTGATGATTTGGTACTGCGGTCGTTTGGTGATTCTTCCCATGTTTGCTCCAATGTCCTTTATCTGGGAGAGATATAAATTATATTTATCACAATTAAATTAAATATACCAATACATTTTATGGCAGTATCAAATTCAGTTAAAAATTCATATAGCGTATTGTGTACAAACGTTTTGTTGAAATTAATATCTTAAAAATACAAAAATACAAGTTCCTATTAAAAAATACGCTAAAAAAATCTGAATCTGAAGCATAAAATTTCACGTTTGAGAGCAAGCCTGCAAATTTCGCTGTGATACTGAGAAAAGAAATCTGTGATAGCCAATTCGTAACAATGACCTCCACGCATCATATGCTATTGAGAGGCATCAAATGCTATCATATGTTATAGAGAGCTATTGGGAGACTAGAGACAGGACAAAGCAGACGGCTAAATGTGAGTCCAATCTGTGGTTCACAAACTTTGGCAACAATTTCTAACCACGGATTCGGCATCCAGGAGGTTCAGCCAAGAACGGCCAACCGCTACGACAAGCGCTAATGACCGATATTTGTTGTTATACGCACGAGGGAATAGAATATCAACTCCAACTCAACTCAGATATTCCCATGCTGCAGCCACTCGAAGGTTATTTGTCAACCATGCATAGAAGGCTTCGCGAAGGAGCCTTCATATGTGAGGCGACCAGCCATCTGCGTGCCGCTCAAGTCATGTCGTAGAAAGGAACGTTTGAGATGAGCACATCAACATATCCACTGGACGGCTAATCAGTGGAGGGTTTTTCTCTTTACGGATGAGTCCAGGTTTAGGCTCGAAAGTGATAACAGACGTTATTTTATTTGGAGAAAACGTAGACTCTATTATCATCAATCAAACATTCATGAAAGAGATGCATACGAAGGAAGTAGTGTCTGAGGAGGTATTTCTTTGGGTGGACACACAGACCTCTATACTTTTCCATGTGGAACTATGAATACTCAAGAGATGATAAAATCATTGAAGCCTTTGTGCACCCTTATACTTGGGCAATAGGTGATGAGTCCCTGCTACAGGACTACAATGCTAAACCGCACGGGCTCGCATCGTGGATGATTATCTTCAGCAGCAAATAATTCAGCGCATGAAGTGGTTAGCTCGATCCCCGGACCTGAACCCTATCGAGCATGTTTGGGATGTTTTAGGAAGACGAATAGCTGCTCTCAATCGTCCTTTTCAGACCCTTGCCACGTTTGCAATTGCTTTTCATAGAGCAATGGCCTCTCACTTCCCACGGAATTGATAGAACGCATAACTGAGAGCACCATACATCGCTGTATTGCGTGTGCTGTATTGCTTCTATGGGAGATCATACTCCATACTAAAGGTAATTTTCCTATGCCAGACTGATACATCCGATTTATTCATTTTATTTATATGCTTTTTTAATACCTTATTTCATTATTTCTTTCTATGTTATTTAACTCGACTATGTGTTATAATGTGGGTCAGTTTTCATTAATTCTCTAAAGCGGTTGCTATTTTGCATCTTCCTGCTACCAAAAATATACCTCATGTCTCTAAATTTACGGATGTATTTAGTCAGAATTTTTATCCGGGATAAATCTCAACTACTTGTGTACTACTATTCATTCATTCCTACGAAATTCCTTTAGGAATTTAAATATACTAAGATTTCCAGAACACTTTAATATTCTATTATCATTAGGAACTCATAGTATGCTGAAGACTGCGAGAAAAAGTCTTTTGATAAAAAGCCACTCCAATTAATGGAAAAGAAAAAAACATGACACCTTTCAGTTTTACGCTTTACCTCTGACAAAAAAAAAAAAAAGAAAAAAAAAAAGCAAAAAAAAAAAAAAAAATACAAAAGTGTAATAAGGGCGTCCTTTTTTAAATTTCAAATGCAAAACCTAATTTCCCTACCTTTCCTCCCTGATTTGGAATGACTCTAGGCACCTTACATAAAGTGTCGCATCTGCCATAAGCTAAGTTTCACCACTTTTAGATACAAAAGCCAGCTGAATTGCTGGCCATGAAAATGCTCTTTCAGAGTCCAAACAAAGAAAAACTAGAAAAAGTCATCCCATGTTAAGAAACGACGTTCATCTCAATTCAACATTTTCTATATGAGGCCTCACACCAAACGTCTACTAATCTTGCTGTGCACATACTTCTTTTCAATTTCGTTCTTTTCACCGCTTTATTAAATTTGTCTAATTGGGACTTAAAAACGTCTCAATTTACTGTTCAACTTTTCCTGCTGCAATCAGTGTGTACCGATTTTTTTAATGATCCTAAAATTTGTCTTTTATTTGTAAATCTGCATTACTTTTTTCCTTTGCAAATTTTCATGAGGCCCACGGTTGGCTGAAAGGAATATTTTTTCCCAAACACAAATTCAAAGGCAAAGTGAGGAAAATTCTGGATTATTTGCGTCAGACCTGACAACAATTTTGGGCAGTTCAATGACGAGACTAAAAGACTTTCTATTTCCTGAAGGTAGATATTAATGATTTAAATAATCCACATAATTTTAATAGTAGTATCAACGACAGATTGATAGCTATAAATTTAGAGAACGCTACTAGTATGATATTAACTTGATTTAAATAATCCACATAATTTTAATATTAGTATCAAACGATCAGATTGATAGCTATAAATTTAGAGAAAACGCTACTAGTATGTTGAGTATTTTGTGTCATATTCCACTTAAGGATCCATATTTTTCAAATAACACTGTTACTCGACGAATCATCAATACAGCTGATAACGTGAATGAATCACTTCTCAGTCGCATATCTTTTGTCGCACTGAAAATGGATGAATCGACCGACGTCGCCGGATTAATAATTTTAATAGTATTTGTTACTTATAAAGATATCACGAGGAGTAAATTGTTTGCAGACCAGCATATTAAGAAATAAAATTTTCAATCTTTTGGATGAATTTTTCTAATCAAATGAAATTTCGCGATATTGCATTTTTAGATATGTACTAGATACGAAAAACACTTTTTGAGCTTAGTGTTGAATGACGTTATAAAAATTAGAAATTACATAACATCGCAACATCTTAAAAGAAAGCTCTTCAAACTGTATATGAAGATACAGAAACACACTATGATTTCCTCTTAATAAATCGTGATGTAAAGTGGTTGTCTAGAGAAAACATGCTGACAAGTTTGATAAGTCCTGGCTCAGCCATGCGACTTATCTTGGCATAGCACCATGTTAACTCCCGCATGGGGATGAACAAGACTTTCTATGGCAAGGTTTTAAAATCGGGCGGTAAAATAGAAATTGGCCATCTGACCAACATTTTCACCAAAATGATGAATTGGAATCAGCATTGCAAAGAAAAATACCACATGTTTTTGATGTAAATGTAAGTATCTTCTTTACCTGGAAGCATGTATTGGTTTGGATGCTAAAATGTGAAAGTATCTTCTTTTACATGGAAGCATGTATTGGTTGGAGTGCTAGGAAGATATCGTTTACTTTCCTTTCCCAAAAAACTTCTTAAATGGTTTGGTTTGGTTTGGTTTATTTGATTACGAAGAAGTAGACAGACAACCCTCGAGTGTTTATTGAAAGCACTCGAGGGTTGTTGTCTACTTCTTAATGAAAATAAAATAAACATAAAAAAAAATTGCTGAAAAATTACAAAAAAATATTCAGATGCATGATATAGCTTTGCAAGATTCGTATGGATATTATTTTCCAGAAAGTTCATGTTAAAGTGCTTGACGGCTGTAAATGTATTCAGCCTGAGAAAAAAATTCACCCAGGTTAAAGTCAGCAAACTATGAGGTCTTTAAAAGACGTGACATCTCACGGCAGCTAAAAATCGTGTTTTATAATTAAATTCTACCGGAATTTTAGCTGCATTTTCTAGATGAATTTAAAATCTTGTCTGAGGTAGCTATTAATATTACTGCCTTTCTCAACAACATATCTCTGTGAAGCCGGAATATCCTCCTATACTGATGTCAAAACAAATGCAGAACAGTTTAATAGCAGAACTAGACCCTCTCCAGCAATCATTACCTGCTTAATTTATTAAACTGCTAAAGTTCGCCTGCATTGCAAAAACTGACATGGAATTCAAACCAACCTTCATATCTCATTAAAAGTTTATATATTACTTTACGTGATGCCATATTTATATCTAACAACCTTTGCCTCCGTTTATTCTAGTTAATGAAGTTAAACTAAAATTCTTTTCTGGAACGGCTAATAGAATTTTTTATAACAAATAATGAACAAGTATGTATTTTAATTTAATTTGATATGATGATTAATCTGTAGGAGCCGTATTTATTTTATAAATTAATTTTATTTTTGTTCTCACCAATAATCTGTAGCAACGTAAAAGGTTTGATCTATTGAATTTTGAAATAACGTAAGACAAAGTCTTGACAATACATAAGTACCTTTGGTAGTTGAGAACAAACTGAGATATGGTAAATTTGGTAGGGTACGAACTGCGCAAATTGATCGAACATCCCTCCCCCCCTTCTAATACACGAACTGCGCGAGTTTCCTTGTCCCCCATTTCTTCCAGAAATGAGTGCTACAAAAGTCTTTTAATTGTCCATTAATGGGACATTCTATTGAGACGCAAGCCTTTATTTCGTTTATCACTAATTGTAAAAATTGTGGCATGTAAAAAAAATATTAATTTAAAAATCTGGCGTTTGCTAAAAAATATCTTTTTCTTTCCCCCCACACTCATTTTCCTTTTATGATGCTTAACCCCTTGAGGAATTCACCGATTACGGATAAAGATGCTTGACGCGTTTCACACGTCCTTAAAACTTATGATACTAATCAACACAGCAACTTGCAGCTAACTGTCTATGAACTGAGCTTCGTCCCATCTTACCGCTTTGGGTGAGTTAAAAATCTCTATAATTAAAAATTTTGAAAGATTACAATCTGCTAATATCGCGAAGCTTGTGTGGCAAGTTTGAGACCTCTGTTATGAGATCTTTCTTAATGCTCATGTTATCGCATCTAGGGAGAACTGTAACAACAGATGATGATTGTAATTTTGCTG